GCCTCTGCCGATGAAAGCCTGGCTGGCCGCCGGCGAGTAACTCGAGTTGGTAGCATTGGAGCGTCGAGAAAGGAGGTCGGTGTCGGTGGCTGCTCCCTCGATCCCACTGTCGGTGAACTCGCTCCCCTCGCCCGCGTTGACGTCCTAAAGGCAAGAGAGACACGGCGTGAGATGAAGAGCCCGGCTGAGTCCTGCCTTCTGGAAACACCAACTGAACCTGAGGCGCCCAGGTGGCACCACGCTTCTTCACACCCCCGTTTTGTCTGGCACTGGAAACGCCATATCTCTTTTTCTTCTGAAGAGAAACAACTGGAAGGAAAGGTAGGGTAAGCAGAACTTCCCGCACAGTTTAGGAAAGACCAGTCACACGCACAGCTCAGGTGGTACCTCCACAGCATTAGCATTTGGGAATGTAAGATGCAGCATCATCTGTTTACATTGAACTAAGTTAACAGTGCTAAAGGTTTTGCAAAAGGAGAACATATGGTAGCAAAAACTGGCAGTGTCAAGAAAAGCAGCAATCAGCCTACGCATTTTGAGAAGAAAACACTGGTATTGTACATGCACACCTACAGTTGGACATCCCAAGACTGTAATTTGCAAATTATATAACTAAAAACATACTTATTTTCCTCCTAAGAAGTTAACACATTTGAGATTATTTGTGTCACCTCTACATCACAGACCCTAACGACTGGCCACATGATATCCCCTGCCAAATCCCACAATGACACTCTGCCAAAACATTGCAACAGAAGACCCTTCCTGGTCCCCAAGAATTAGCTGTTCATGGATCAGAAGAGACAAGAATATGGTCGGCTTGAGCAAGACAGGAAACAACACGACTGAATTCAGGTTTCAAAGACTTAGAGGCTCAGCCTGTCCCCTGTAACAAGGCTAGTGACTGAAGTGAACTAACCACTACCACCTCAGCATCCAAAGGCATCTGGAGCACTTTCTGAAGGAGGACAAATAAAGAGCAAGCCCTGTATGTGGAGACAAATACCTTATGTTTGATACTTGGAAGCAGAAGGAGCCAGGGAAGAAGATGCAAAGGAGTGAGAAATGTGCTCAAGAGAACAGGAATTTCAGCCTCTACCTCTCGTGCATGAGCAGCTGGTGCTAGATTTACAAGTCTGAAAAAACACGAGGAGTCTCTGAGAAGAGGTGGCAGAATGCAGTATTTATTTTGAGAGAAAACAAGCTTCTAGGTGTTGGTTCAAGGATCGGTTTTCTATGCATCCAAGAGCAGCTCTGCAGAAACTGAGAAACCCTCCAAACTTTTGTTTGAAACCTTCCTCCTGTGGAGCAAGAGCTGGATGGGAAAGCCTTAAGGGGAGGGGAAGGGTGTTGCTGACTTTGACTAACTTTTAAGGCATTAATTTGTAACGGATGGGCTTGCTCTTTATGAACACTACCTCTCAAGGGAGGCTTCAGAGTCCAGCTGGAAGACAAAGTACTTCCTTCCTCACTCAATGAGCACAGTTATCCTAATCAGGCTGGTTATTTAATGCAACACATAGTGATAGACAAGCTGTTCTGGACAGGCCAATATCCCTCTGCTCCCACCACATGTGAATGAGCTGAGCAGGGCTTCCTGTAAGTGCAGTCATCTACCCGTACACAGCAGTTTTCACTACCACACTTTTTTCCCTGCTGTTCCAATACACTTGTTTTTTTGGAAGCCAATTACCTTTCTCTCTCTTACAGCACAAGGAAGCCTATCTCGAGAGGGGAACCAGCGCTGCCCAGAAACTGGTGTTTACAAAACACTGCCGTGAGCAAGTTTTTGCACTCCGTCATGAGAAGGTGGATAGTGCAACTTCTGATGACAGCACTCCATTTGAGACCCTGGGCATCAAGGAGCCAGGACTGGCACAGCCGCTCAACGCTCACAGGCCCGAGGCACTGCCCCTCTGCCAACGCAGCCACACTGGCATAAAAATGAGCACCAGAGACCTGAACCAGATCTCCCGTGTCCACTGGGATAATTATTCCCATAAAACAATCAGGGTTTGCATTTGTTTTATGGGCTCTTCTTCCTCTGTAACCTTTTTAAAAGGAAAAAGTGTGCCACTCATATAACATAAACAAATCTGCATTCTCCACTGAACACTGCACTAGCAGTGGCAATGGAAATTGTCTGAGGTTTTGGCTTTCTTGTTTTTGTTTAATGATTTAATAAACATACAACCAGTCTCATGATTTACTTTATCCATGCAATACAGAAAGGATAAAGTCAATTCCAAAATTTTAGCCGATGTAACTTTTAGGAAGCGTACTTCACACTTGACCTAGAATTAGTCAGTTTAAACAAATAAAGAGCTGCTAAAAGAGCCCACCAACTCGAGGGAGATAGAATTTGTAATCTTGCCAGCCAGCATATGCACAAAACTTTTTTGGTGCTTTTTAGCAGATGGAGTATTTCTTCAAAAATAGAAGTGCATGCAAGATGTTCAAGCACATCACTGCCATGCAGGGTTCCTCGTGCCTAGTGAGACACAGCCTTCTTCTTGTCCAACCCTGACAAGACTCAGCATTACTTGCCTCAGTTTCCCTGTCCTTAAACAGGGATTATAGTCCCTAACTGATACATGGGTGTATTGGCTTACTATTTGTAAAAGAACGAAAGGATGGAAAACTCAGAGTGAATGTTATATATGCTCATGAGTTTAAATTGTAGCATGTTTTGCAAGCATCTTTATAATCTTTACCACAATGTAAGTGATTGGTTGGATGGGTCAAAAAGTTCTTTTCAGCATAATGATGCAGTAGCCCCTGCACTCCTTTTTCCTCTCTTAAATATCCTGTATCAAAGACTTCTTGCCAACCAATTCAAGCCCTTTGATAGAAGGAGGGCTTGAGCATATAAAGGTCAGAAGGGTTCAAAACCTACAGCCTGCTAATATTGTTCACGCTCATGAATTATGAAACATAGCATTGAGTGAGCTGAGCACTTTCGGAAGTCTGCTCTATGAGAAGATTGGTCTCGGGGTTAGTAGGGTTAAGAGCATTCATTACACAGGTCTCTGACTTCTGAGTTCCTGCTGCAATGTCAGCTTGTTCTCATCGGAGGGTATGAAAAGCTCTCAAGAAGTAGCCAGCATCTGTTCTTGCCGTCTGACAGTGCTATAATCCGCACACTGAAGGGCATTCAATTAAGAGTTCAGCAGAAAGTACAGAGGTTTAGTATTATGCTTCTGCAGAAATGTGCTGTGGCTGAAGGCCCAACAAGCCAAGCTGGCCAACAAACCCTAGCAGGGTCTGACGAATACATCACTTGGGACACAAACAGTCCTGCAGATTTTCAAACGAGGATGCTAAAAACTAAGCATCCCAGCTCGCACTGTGAGTTTCATGGCTCTGTGCTGACGAGATCCATGTGGACACATGGGGCCCTAACTTTGGTGTCCAGCTCCAAAGTACATACTGACATGGTCACCGTAGCCTACTGCTCAGAAGCAAAGTGAACGCTGCATAACCTGGGTGAGAGATATTTAAAAATCACTCACGTTTCCCGCCTAGGTTCTCAAAGAGCCCCGCAGACGACAGCAACATCTCCGTCCTCTGAGGAAGACATTTACCATCCCAGACCCCAGACAGGATACACCACAGAGGCTTGCTAACGAAACAAGCATTTCAATCCTCAGCAGAAGGAGTTCCCAGGCAAAGACTCTTAATGCCAAGAGACACAGTTCAGCCTTCACTGCTCACCCCTCTGAGTCCTTCCCAGCATCCCTGCAGTTCTCCATCATGATGCCAATGGTACGTGCCAGGCACATCGTGAGAGCTGGGAGACAGCTGAAGATTGCAGAACACACATTCCTGAAGCCCACAGTTTTGGGCATTACACACATTATAAAGAATCACCAATACATTACTCTGGACTTGCAATTCCTATCATCAAGGGGCTCTGTTTTATTTCACTGGTTAAAAACCCCAAAAGTTTCATTCATCTCCGAGTAAGATTCAGGACATTGTACCTGAACAATTTCCATCTTGATAGAGATCTTGTGTTTTGTATTTTCAGGCTGGCAAACAGCTGTCTCCACACAGAGGAATATTTTTGCCCAGAGAGACCATCCCAGGAACCAAATACAAGGCTGGAACTAAAATGTGTGCTGCCCTGCTTAGCCTTCCCACTTGTGTTTACCTAGCTTCAGGCCCAGGAGGACAAGTGGGCAAAGCAAGAGGGAGGTGGAAATCGTTAAATTGGTCACACCAAGTGGAAAGCGTGTAGCAAATGAAAGGAAAGCGTATTTCCTCCAAGACAGAGAGATGGGGAAAGTCGTGGGAATCTCAGTTCTTGGCATTTTGCAAACACAACAGGTCTTAGTCCACAAAGACAACAAACTGAATGAACAAGGGGCTTTGTCCCTTAGATTTAAGATTGTTCTGGAGAAGCAGGGAGAAAGTCACATAAAGACCAGTGGCCGAAGAAGGGAACTAAACAGGCTTTAGCTACTGTGCTGCACTCTGTGCCTTGATGGGGAGGGCAGTAAGTAGCAGCACAGCTTCCACCAGAATGTGGAATCTGTGCCACTCCTGAAGATGATAGAGGGGCAGCACCATTTCTTACACTGGCAGTGCCACCATACTGGTTGTAAATGCCCAGGGTTTATGAAAGGAGGTTCAAAAGGAAAGAGTAGGGAACAGTGGAATGCCCGATGCCAGACAGATATGCCAGAGAATGAGAAACCAGAGATGGGCTGAATGGTACCGTTGTTACCAACAAGAAGGCAGCAAGGCCCAGCAAACAGGCCACGTGCCAGGAGAGCTACAACAGCCCTAACAGCATTCGAGCACAGTGAAGTGGAATTATCACAGCCTCATCAAATGCAGTGAACAATTTAAATGATGAACCAATTGGGTAAAGTATTAGTTAAAGTATTAGCAGCACACTTAAATATATTTTTCCCTCACAGGAACGCTGGGTTTCATGCAGAGCAAGTCAGTGGGGAATAAAAGTGTAACACAAGATACATCAAGCTAATGTAATTGCTGCTGTAGCTTTTGCATGCTCATGTGATCCTCATGTCTCTTACCTGTCTGCCACAGCCACATATGTTTAAAAAATTCTTGCTAGATTTAGAAGACAAAAAAAAGCCCTCTCTTTGCTTTAGAAAAAAAGTCTACCTTCAGCT